TCCGGCGCGGCGTAGGAGATTTTTGTTTTAATTAATTCTTCAATACGCTTGTTATGTTGGGACCGATTTAGATGTCACCTAAATTACTGCTCGTCAGTCTGCCATATAGAAATTACGACACGCCACCTAAACGACACAGCAGGCGCAGGTATACATTTTCGCGGCGCCAACTAAATGAAACAAAAAGAAATTGTGGTTGCTAACCCAAGAGTGGGAGGCGAGTGGCGACAAATATTCAGCTGCAGCGTTTTAATAATGAATAAATTTTGATTTCTATTCGATTTGAGTAATATTAGTTTATGTTTCAAATTCATTTTTTTAGATTTTTTTTTAAAAATATGGTGCCCTTAAGTGTCCACATCTAGACGCAGGTCTTTCCACATATAGGCAGGATTATACTGTTTTATTGCGCTGCTTTCGAAACGCACTCGCTGCTAACCGAAGCCGATTAGGTTAATGATTTCTTATAATTACGCGAACACTACACATTAAAATAAGACTAGTTTTACGAATTTTATCCCGTATATTAACTTATTTTATATTACCGACCTTTTGAGCACCTTACAGCACCCATGATTACAGATTAAAACTATAATCTGGAGGTAGCTGTGGTTAACTATGACATCGAGGCGTCGAACACCTCAGTCCTCGCGTGACCATGGGTGATGTAAATTTTTTTTTGTATAGGAGAGGGGGCAAACGAGCATATGACTCACCTAATGATGGAACAACAAGGGAATCGCAGACGTGTTGCCGGCCTTTTAAAAAGGAGTAGGCTCTTTTGTTGAAGGTCCCTAAGTCGTATCGGTCCGAAAAATCTCTGGTGGTAGTCGATTCCACAAGGAAGTTATCATCCAGATCTTATGGATGGTATCGCGAGTTTTGTCGCAATGTGCGATGGTCAAACTGTGCCGCTGGAATTAGTCCGAACAATTCCCTAGAGCACTCCCCGTGGTAGATTCGATAAAATACGCAAAGAGATGCTAAAGCTCTTTGCAGTTTCAGTGACCCAAGTCGATCGGAAAGAGCTCGGTCGTCGACAATTCGAACAGCTTTGCATTGGATGCGATCAAATGGAAGGAGCTGGCATTGGGGAGCCCCAGCCTAGAGATGAGAACAGTATTCCATCTGCAGTACAACCTGTGCCTTGTAAAGTTGCAGGTGGTGAGCCGGCATGAAATACTGTCCCCCTCTCATGAGCACGCCAAGCTTTTTAGAGGCCAGTTTGCCCTTCTCTTTTAAGTTACCACGAAACTGCACGTCACTCGACATGTCGACGCCGAGGACTCCGATACTGGCTGAGGCAACATGGAGAATGTCTTGAAACTGAGGAGATACGACGAGGGGGTTCTTTTTACCGGCAAACGTGCTAACTTGTGGCTTCTGGGGATTAAACTGGACTAGATTTAGTTGCCCCTAATGTAAAGTGCTCGAAATATCGGCAATATAAAAACGGCAGGGCCCCAGGCGAGGATGGAATTACAGCGGAGCTTCTGAAAGCGGGTGGAACACCGGTACTTGAAGTCCTTCAGAAGCTCTTCAATTCCGTCCTCCATGGTGGCACTACTCCGGAGGCGTGGAGCAGAAGTGCGGTGGTCTTGTTCTTTAAGAAAGGCGACAACGCTCTCTTGAAGAACTACAGACCGATTTCCCTTCTGAGCCGCGTCTACGTGCTGTTTTCGAGAGTCATTACGAATCGTCTCGCACACAGACTCGACGACCAAGCCTCCCGCCAGCCTCCCGAATAAGCCGGTTTCCGAAAAGGCTTCAGTACTATAGACCACGTACATACCCTGCGGCAGATTGTACAGAAGACCGAAGAGTACAATCTGCCACTTTGCCTGACGTATGTGGACTATGAGAAAGCCTTTAATTCCGTCGAAATTTGGGCGGTGCTACAGTCCCTTTAGCGGTGCAAAGTTGACTCTCGGTACATCGAGGTGCTGAAGTGTTTGTACAGTAGGGCTACGATGGCTATCAGAGTACAGAACCAGAGTTCGAAACCTATCCAACTGCAGAGAGGTATAAGACAGGGTGACGTTATATCCCCGAAACTCTTCACCGCTGCGTTGGAAGACGTTTTCAAGCTACTGGATTGGAAAGGATACGGTATTAACATCAATGGCGAGTACATCACTCACCTTCGATTTGCCGACGATATAGTCCTTATGGCAGAATCGCTGGACCTTAGCACTATGCTCAATGACCTCAATGGTGTCTCCCAACGGATAGGTCTTAAGATTAACATGGATAAAACAAAGATTATGTTCAATGTCCATATCACACCTATGCCGGTAGTTGTGGGGAGCACTATGCTCGAAGTTGTTGACGAGTACGTTTACCTGGGACAAATAGTCCGACTAGGTAAGTCCAACTTCGACCGAGAGGTCAATCGACGGATTCAACTCGGCTGGGCAGCGTTCGGGAAATTACGACACATCTTCTCGTCAGGTATACCTCAATCTCTGAAAACTAAAGTGTACAACCAGTGCGTGTTGCCAGTGATGAATTACGGATCTGAGACGTGGTCCTTCACTGCTGGCCGTATGAGGACGCTCAACGAGCTATGGAGAGGGCTAAGCTCGGAGTTACTCTGCGTGATAGACTCAGAAATGAGGATATCCGCAGTAAAACCATAGTGATCGACATATCCCAACGGATTAGTAAGCTGAAGTGGCAATGGGCCGACCATATAGCTCGAAGAACCGAAGAAGATGTGTCGTAATTTCCCGAACGAACGAATTGAGTTATAACCTCAATTTCTGAAAACTAAAGTGTACAACCAGTGCGTGTTGCCAGTGATGACTTACGGATCAGAGACGTGGTCCTTCACTGCTGGCCATATGAGGACTCAAGGTCGCTCGGGAGCGAGCTATGGAGAGGGCTATGCTCGGAGTTTATTTGGGTGATAGACTCAGAAATGAGGATATCCGCAGTAAAACCAGAGTGACCGACATAGCCCAACGAATTAGTAAGCTGAAGTGGGCCGGCCATATAGCTCGAAGAACCGATAACCGACGAGGAAGAAAGGTTCTCTATTGGCAGCCTCGTACCGGTAGGCGTAGTGTAGGGTGACCCCCCACTAGATGGAGTGACGACCTGGTAAGACATGCAGGAAGTCGATGGATGCATGTGGCTCAGGACCGTGCTTTGTGGCATTGCTTGAGGGAGGCCTATGTTCAGCAGTGGATTTGTGAAGGGCTGTAATGATGATGATGATGATACGTGATAAAATTCGATTCAGGTATTTTTTTAAATATTGTAATTAAATTAAAAAATAAAACTATAAGTCTTTTCACTGATAATTTACTGAGTTTGTATTTATAAAATTGAAGTAGCAAACACTCACAGCCTACACAAACAAAAAATGTGATGATAAGTGGCTACTGCAAACAACTTTAAATAAAGAAGCTACCAATGCGTTGCCACCTCTGAGTATTGCAGTAATTTGCTTCAGATTTTGGTATTGTACTGGCTCTACGGTAAAAGGTAGGTAGCAGGTAGGTACCACCTAACTACTCAGAAGGAATCTTAGACAGAAACGAAGTCCTACCACCGGGTATTAAGAAATTTCTAAGTCTTAATTCAAGTTTTTCACGACATAATTGATATGCACTATGTTTGTAGAGTTTGATGTATACTAAACTAACAAGGCAAAAAGTAACAAAAGGCGCATAGAATTTCACCTAGTGGAAATAACATAAGTAGAATAGAATCATTTTTTATTCGTTTTAGATTAGATATAGATAGAGTACTTCTTATTGAAGGCAACTTTTCTTATTATCACCAAAGAAAATATTTTATGAAGAAAACATTTTTGCCCTGGGAAGAACCAGCAAGAATAAAAATCACAGCTTGTACCAATTACAACACGTATTTAAGAAACAGCTTGGAAGTGATCACCTTATTAACAGGGCTTACTATCAACCATGTATTAGTTTATAATATAGCGATCCGATCATTCAATTTATTCCCAGGGGTTATTATCATCCACAAATTCCTTAATAAATTCCTTAATACTGTAATAACCCTTATTATACAAATTTTGTTTAATAAAATTTTTGAACTTTGAGTATGACAAATTTTGTGTATTTTCTGGGATTTTGAATTTTGTAGACTATTTAAATTTTGTAATAGAAAAATCTTGTTTATTTTATTATAAAAGCGTTGTTGTTCTATATACATTGCTCTATGAATAAATAAGTTGACTTTGTGAAGCCGAGTAATAGGGGCTACACACGATCACTTTTAAGGGGGGGCGAAAGGGGGGGTTGAAAAAAAAAAAAAAACTGTCAGTTTTGACTAACCAGTTTTAACTGACAGTTAAAACTGACGTCCTTTGCACCCACACACGTTCAGTTTTAACTGTTCTCTTTGACCACAAACAACATTATCATCTCAGGATGTCATCAGCCGACGACGACGTTTTAGCCGTGCTTGGTTTATTAATGATTTTAAAAATAAAAATATACGCAAAGAGTGGTGTAAAGAGTGGTTAAAAAAAGGAAAATTTATTCCCATGTTAATTTATTAACCGAACTAAAAATTGTTTCGAAGGATTGGCACAACTATCTCAGAATGAGTGAAGAAATATACCTCAATCTACTATCTCTAGTGTCTCCACTGATTTGAAGAAAGGATACAGTTATGAGAAATGCTATTTCGCCACATGAGAGATTAACAGCAACGTTACGATTTCTAGCAACAGGACGGAGCTATGAAGATTTAAAGTTTTCCACAATTATTTCACCTCAAGCCCTCAGCAGCATAATACCAGACACATGTGAGGCTTTATTCAAACTACTTTGTCCAGATTTTTTAAGGATAAGAAAACTTAGAACATTTAATAATTGGTTTTATTATTTATTATTAAGAAAATTATCAAGAGATGACTTAAAAAAAATTAAACTGAATGCGCTTTAGAGGCCTACGATTAATTTTGCATGTACTGAGATAAAAATGAAGCCGCAGTGTTTACTTCTTGTAAAGGTACAGACATTTCAGGGATTGAAATTTGTACCGCTTCCTGTATTGTTGTCTAAAAGGTATGGCTGAAATATGCTCTGTGATTCTGCAGTGTTAGAATTTATTTGTTGTATTGTTGCTCGATCCGATATTTTGTGGTCAATAATCAATTTATCCATTTCAGCTAAGAATAGAGCTTCGTTTATAATACCTTCCGCTAAAATGCGCTGTTCTTTACGAAGATCACGCAACTTCATTGCCACGTTTTTCCCAAAAATATCGAAACGATCATTCCGCTGTACAGGACGTTTAAAATGATCCTGTACAGTTAATAAAACGTCATTGGTTAAAGTTTGATTGAGATTCCTTTTTGTCGGTCTCGGATGGTGAGGTGGTGCCGACGATGATGCTGAATTTCCTGTGTCAGTGGTTTGAAGCCAAAGATGAACCTGGTCTAGAGTCTAGGTCTTCATTCTGTAACAATAATACATACACAATTAATAATATAATAATATATAATGTTTTATTTTCAGTTTCCCAATACGGAACAAGATTGGAAAAATATTGCTGAAAAGTTTGAGAAGAGATGGAACTTTCCACATTGCTTAGGATCAATAGATGGAAAGCATGTTTCAATTGCTTTACACCCTGGATGTGGATCAGAATTTTATAATTATAAAAACAGACATAGCACGGTTTTAATGGCTATTGTGGATGCTCACTACAAGTTCATTTTGTGTGATTTTGGCACAAATGGAAGAATTTCAGATGGTGGAGTATTACGAAACACTGTATTTTTCGAAAAACTTCAAGACAGTAAATTAAACATCCCAGCCACATCGCCGAACTAGTCAAAAATAGCAACAGAAGTTTACCTTACGTATTTGTTGCTGATGATGCGTTTCCATTGAGAACAGACATGATTATATCATTTAGACAAGCAGATCTTTATACTTATGAGAAAAAAATATACAATTATCGAGTATCAAGAGCAAGGAGAATTGTTGAGAATGCTTTTGGGATTTTAGCGTCTCGGTTCCGTATATTTCACACAGAAATAAACATCGAACCAAAAAATATTGATTCCGTTGTAATGGCATGTTGTGCTCTACACAATTACTTAACTGAAACAAACCAAGCCAATTACAGTCCTTCTGAAATTCTTGATAGGGAATTTTTTGATAACGGAACAATTATACAGGGAGTGACTTCGGCAGATTCGGACATGATAGATTTAGATAGAAGACACCAAGGAAATATAACAAATGCAGCCAAGAAAACAAGGGAAGATTTTATGAACTATTTCGTAAATGAAGGACAAGTTCCATAGCAGGATAATTTTATTTGTTAATGTTTTTATAATAGTCTAATATCAATAAACTAAATTATAAAATAAACAATAATAGTATTTATTTACTCACGTCATTTGTTTCTTCGTCATCCTTGGAAACATTTGATCTTGAGGATCGTGGTACTTCTTGGTCGGTGAGAAATTGTAGTAAATCGTAATACCATAACTTTGGTATATAAATATCATCTTTGCCAGATCCTGATCTTTGTGACGATTTGACTTTCAAAACTTCTTTTTTGAACGTGCAACGCAGTGTGTTAATTTTACTTTTCACTGTATCTATAGTTGCCGTAGAGTCAATTTCTTTAACTTTTTCTAATAATACCTTGTAAGCTGCTGATTTCCTTTCTCGGTCATGGTACTCCTTACTTTTATTCTGCCATAAGCAAGGTTCATTCCTATATAATTCTATAAACTCGGCCAACCACAGTCTTTGCATCATTTTTTCTGCGTATGCGAAGAGAATAAACATGTACAGACCAGTTTCTTTTTCGTGATCGCAACACGACTGAAGAAACACCGCCTACACACGTACAGTTTTAACTGATCAGTTCCGTCATTTCAGTTAAAAAATATGTATCAACAATATATCATCAGTATTAACTGATAATAAAAAAAACTGACAGTTTTCATCGTACACACACTCAGTTTTCACTGTCAGTTAAAACTGGTCACTCAAAACTGACAGTTAAAAGTGATCGTGTGTAGCCCCTATAACTGGTATCACTAGCTTGAGCTTGTTTCTAATGTTTGCGCAATGTGTGTCACTTTTTTACTTAAACTACATTTGTTTTGGAGAACATATATTGAATTTTCGCAAAGAGGTGAAAGTTAATAAATTTATTTAATTTAAAAAAAACTGAGAGAGATTATTCAGTTTTAGGTTATAAATGGCTGATATGGCCCTGTTCTGAAAAATAAAAATAGGTCAGTCGTATTTCCCCTCATCAAAAACTTATATGACATATTACTATGGACATAAGTAAAATAAACCAATCTAGCTGTTTTAATACTATTGAGACTTCTAATCTTTTTACAGCATAAGCTGCAGAGTATAGTTTGCTTGTTAATTCAGATATTTGGGGACCCTCTGAAGTTTTGCGCCGAGAGTAATACCAAGAAAAATAGTAAAATCGACGTGGTTTATTTATTTCCCGTTTAAAAACATATTGTTCTTCACATTTCATAATTTTTTTAAACAAAATATTAGAACGATTTACTAACTAAGACCGTCATTAAATGTTTAACTCGTAAAATACTCAACGGATTGGATTTTTTAATTATAAAACGAAAGTTTATTGTTTGTCGACTTTATGGTATCAGTTTAATAATCGGTGAATTTCGTACCTCCTTTTAAAAATCTACCACACGTGCCCAACTAACCTCACCTTGGATACACATAATGTACTAGATAATGAAAACATGAAATGTATCTTAATCTTATACGAAATTAGTCGAGCATATACTGCTGTTAATCAATTAACTCCCAATAGTATATATCATACTAATGATTACGTTTCCATGTGAAGAAACTTTATGAAAGAGATTAAAGATGAGACAACCTTTGTATATATTATGAATATGATCATTTTATAGATCGTGCTTCTATTATTTTGTAAAGGTATATGAGAGCCATGTTTAGCTCAGAGGTTAAGCGTTAGATGCGTTCGATGCTCACAGTACGCGAGCAACCCAGGTTCGAACCTCGTTGGCATCACATGCGTGCTTTACCACATGCTCGAAGATGGAGAAGAACATTGTGAGGGAACCTGCGTGTCTAAGTTATACCTAAAATATTACAAGGTGTATAAAGTCCGCCCACATGCGTTGGAGCAGCGTGGCGGGCAAATTTTTCCATAACCCTCTTAGAAATGAGAAGTAGCCTGTGCCCAGCCGTGGGATGTATAAATACAGTAACTTTTTTTTAATAATTTTAGAACCAAAGTAATAATAGAAGTTACATAAATTGTGTAATTTATTTTGTAAGTTATTAAAAAATATCAGAAGAACGCTTATGTTGTGTTTCGTATAGTGAATGTAGACAACCGGAGGCACTTTACTGGTAACGAAATATTCCATCAAAAGCCGGCTTCTCACTGCGTGTGTTATAACCGCCGCGCCGCACCCGCACGCGCTACGCGCAGTGTGAAGGGCTTGGAGCGGCGTAGCGCGTGCAGGCGTAGCGCGGCGCGTGCTATCCGCATTGATTTATAGGTATAATACACCAGATCAGTAATAACCGCGCCAAAGCGTTGCCACTAATGGTGGTTAATATAGCGCATAGCGCCATATTATAGCGCGCTATCTCTTCATAACGCATAGCGCGTGCTATGTAAGTAGTCGCCATGGCGCTATGACGCTATGACGCTTTGGCGCTATTCATATGAAGCGGCAATTAGTTCTAGCAGCAGCGCTGTTGGGAGTAGACGTGTGACGCAAATTTAATCTAGCAGCACGCTATTCATCGCGCGCAAACTAAGTTAGTGTTAGGCGTTATTTAGTTAGTGTATACTGTATATTTATAAGTGATCGAAGGACACAGTTGTCTGCTATAAAACAAGCCTAACTAATGTTTGTAAATGTAAATAAAATATAAATACAAAAGTGTATATAATAGTGTTCGTAAATAGTTGATTTTTGTATATACAATCAATAAACTTTTAAATACACCTTTGATTTATAATTTATATTAAGGTTAAAATAACGTTTACATCAATTATAAAAAAATGATTAATTTTATTTTGTTTTAAAAAGTACAGTCCTTAAAATATTTTTAGGATTGGAAAAAGTCGTAAGCCTAAAAAGTATGAAAGAGCGTTCTTTAATTTTTCTTTACCACTTTATTTTATTTTAATCTAAAATGCGACTTATTACGAAACAATGTTCTTATATAGCACGCGGTCTATCCAATGAACGACATGTAATGTAGCGTGCTCCGAGATATAGCGTGCTGCTAAGCTTAACGCGCTTGCCAGCCTCCTACACACTTTTTTATAAATAGCGCGCTATAACATAGCGTATTTAATAGCGCGCTAGAAATTTCTAGGTTATAGTCTGTAGCGTGCTATTGATTTATAGTCGTTTTGAACAACTTTAGTTGCCACTGCACATATAGCCACAGCCATATGCCTAGTTGACGTCAGTTCAGTGTTAAATGTGACGCCGACAGAGTTGAGCCGCGACAAAAAATGGGTAAATTCGTAGTGAAAGAATGCTATTTAAGGTCACAAAAACGTAATACATCAAGCGGAATCACTTTCAACACATAATTTTTAGTTCCTGCTTTCATATAAACGTAAAAAACCTCAAATAATTAAATAAAATTATCGAATATTGTCATTTCGGTTCAATGTTGCCACTTTTCCGCATTTGTGGTTATTAATGGGAGACTATATAAATAATGGAGTAAGTTAATTTTTTACCTCTGATTTTAAATATTTTGGAAATTATAATAAAACTCCGTTTAAACTTTCATACAAAATAATTAATTACTCTTATTTCAGTTTATTCATGTATTCTCTTTTAAATATATTTTATTACCTATTTTATATTAATAATTTTATATTAATTATAATTTCATATAAATTTTATATTAATTATATTTTATTACCTATTTTATATTGTTTGATTTGTTAGTACAATAAAATACTAATAAAAATATGTTTTGTTTCATCATTATGTTTATTTCTATTCATCTGATAAGCTTTGTATCCTTTTATCTAAGGGGACGTTTTTTTAAAAAAAAATAATTAACTTCAGCTTAAAAAAACTCATTTTATTGCTTATTTTAGGTAAAATTTCATATAGTAAGCCACACCAACCCGCCTTTGCATGTTTGTGTGTCCACCTTTATCTAATCTTAGCGGCGATATTGTTTTCACAACTTGTGTAAGTAAGATAGATATATGTTTATTTAAAATTGTTATTAATTTCAAAGCTACGTCGTCGCGTTTGGATAGTGGTTACACTTTTTTCGACGCGTGGTAATGTGGTTTGCTCCTCTAGTGTTGTGTAACTTAATGGCTATCCGCTTAAAATCGGTAACTTCAAAGGCGCGGCGTGGCGAGGCGCGGCGTCGGTGCGCGAGCGCACGCGGTGCGGCGTGTGCTTACAAGATTGAACTCGTTCATTTCGTCTTAACTCGTCTGACGTTGAGGTACTCTCATGGCTATATAGATACGGAGTGGTCTAATGAAACGATTTGTGAATTTTTAATTTTAACGATGTCATCCACTAGCGCCTTTTCTTCTTTTTTTTTTTGTTAATTTTATTAAGTAAATGATATCCACAAAATAAGACAAAAGCGGCTGAAGCAACAGCGTTGCCTTCTTCTTCAGTGGCATTGATCCATGGCTGGAGGTGGCAATTCAGTTCACATGAAATCAGGTGCACTACGCTAAAGAGACTGACTCAGTGGCTTGGAGTTTGGGCAAGCACGCGCCACGCCGCGCCAGTTAAAGGTCACAGCTCATTAGAGCTATCCGGCACCCGACTCTTACTGCCTCGCCTCGAGCGGTTCATATTCTTTGTATGGGCCTGCGCTCACTACATCAACTCCGTACCATCACTGGATCGCCTCGCTCGCGAGGTGTCCACTCGCAGACTGCGAGTGGACCACTCGATGATAGCTCGCTGTTGGAATGCTTACCCTGCGTGAAGCGCGAGCTGGCAACGCGCGGTTCACGCGAGTGCGTTGTGGCGCTCTCCACAAACCCTTCATTTCGAGCCTTTCCTTCGAATGTGTCGGACACATTGTTGTTTGTTTTTAAAATGAACAAAGGAAAACTTATAGAAGAAGTTCGGAAGTATGATTTAAGGATCACTCGTTGATCACGCGAGGTCCACTCGTTGACGACGTGAGGTCCACTGGTGAGCCAAGAGGACCATTCGTGAGGTTCACTGGTGACAACGTGGCGTCCACCCGTGGTCCACCTGTCGACTACGAGTGGACGCCTGGCGACGAGGCGCTGAGGGTCGGGTACCGGGTGGCTCTAATGAGCTGTGACCTTAAAACGGGTGGCGTGAGGCTCGCGCGTGACGCGTGCTTGCGCGTACAAATCAACACGGGCGGCGCGGCGCGTGATAACACACGCAGTGAGAAGCCACCATTAGACTTAGGGGTAACAACGCATAATGCAGTGTTTCGAGTGGTGAGTGATCGCAACTTTTACATCTATATTTTACTATCAATTTTTTATTTAATGACTAATTGTAAGTTCTATTTTCTTTTGTTTAAAAAAGTAGATAATCCATTTTATTTTAAAGGCATCTGAAATCCATTCATTTTAATGAAAAGATTTATTGTATAGTTCTTTATAATTCTTTGGAGCTTCGTGTAAATTTTGTACAACTGGACAGGTTGAGGTCATATTCACACAGTATCATTCAATATAATATTTGTATTGTTGCTAATTTTGTGATGGTTTATAGCTATTATTACGT